GTGTCAAGACCCAAAAATCAGCCCTGCAAGACACAGCAGGGACCAGGTGGGGTCTGGGAGAAGAAGGAAAGGAGGGACTTTACCAGGGCTTCTCTGCCATCCAGTGGCAGCCCTCAGAACCTGCGGCTGCACTGATGTGCAAGGCAAGAGTGCAGGAAGGCAGAGGGAGGGAGGGAGTGGAGAAGGAGAAAGGTCTCTCTAGACCAGTAGATCTCAAAGTTGAACTTGCACTGGAACCCCGCTGAGGGCTGACTGGGATTGAGGAGGTGGAGGGGTGGAGGGCTGCTGGGCTGGGATCACTCAGAACCACAGGCCCAGGAAAGACATGGAGGGGCAGGGAGGAGGGAAGTCTAGGCCTAAGAGATGGTTTTGTTCACAATTGCACATGTCTTGCAGAGGAGGTAACAGAGGGAGGAGAGGCCACAGTGCCCACATTCCTGTGCCTGGAAGTGATGCAGATTTAAATTCAATGCCACCCCATTAGTCCTGCCACAGAGTCCACGGAACAGGTTGTGTGCCACACCCCACACCAGGGCCTCCCACTGCCCTGGTAACACACAAGGTGCTCATTGGCCTCTGCCTGGTAAAAGGAGGAACCAGCAAGGTGTGCATGGCCGCTCAGAAGCACCCCTGGCTCACAGCCTCCTAAAGATGACTGCCGAGGAAGGTCAGCCTGATGGCACACAACCTAGGGCCTGTTGGAATTTCCCACTCTCTTGAGAGCTATGGAGCCACTCTGACTAATCCCTCTTGCCAGGTAGATATTCCCTGAGAGCCATGCAAAGCCAGTGTCAAGCACCTGCTTCCTATGCTGGCTGCATGACTATTCCTGAAACTTGCAGCCCAATAAAGGGGGAGGGATACACAGACTGGAAGGCACAGAACTACTGTACCCATTCACAGTGTAGCTCCTCTCTGGATCTGGAGGGAAATCTGTCCATCCCAGAGAGAAGGATATCAGCCACAAAACTCAGAGCATGTCAGCAAGCGGGATGCAGATCCTGGGGAAGTCCGGGCTGCACAAGACCACCTAGGAGGCTGGCGATGTCGCATTTTGTTTTGTTATTTACTTATTCATTTATTTTTGCAATGGAACCCAGGGCCTTGCACATGTACATGCTCTATCACTGCCCTATATCCCCAGCCCTGGGACTTTTTGGCTTTAAATCCCAGAAATATGTGCTTCTGACCAGCTTCTGGGCACTAGAGTTTGGACCTCAGGGTTCCTGAGCTCTTGGCAAAGTGACTAAGCCATGTTCCACAAAGAACCAAGTACCACAAGAGTAAGCAGTGAGACAACCTCTGCTCCAGCCCAACCCACACTGTCCTCCTTCCTGCTGGGGTCCCACAGCCTGCAAACCATCCAGGCATGAACTCAGGCCTGTCTCCTAGCTCAAGGCTAGCATCACCATGTCAGCATTACTCTCAGCATTTACAAAGTTTCCCAGTCTGGTTCTAAGTGCTTCACATCTACTAACTCAGGGAGTCCACAAGATCCTTCAATGTGCTCTTATTATCCTAGTTTCAAAGAGAAGGGAAAACTCAGAGAATCGTAATATCCTCAGTCATGCGGCTGATAAGGGCCCAGCAGTGATGAAGCCAGGCCTCAGGCTCCAGAACCTCAGATAGACCTCTTCCCCTGGCACCTCCCTGACCCATGATCCATGGATTTAGGGGTAGTGGGTCAATGGAGAAAATTCTGAGTAAGAAGCAAAAGTGAAGGCTATATGAAGACCAAAAAGGGGTCCTGGTGATACAGAAATCTCATATTTTCGTTTTACGTTTCTCAGGAGGGGGAGGAGCAAACCTCTCCAGCAATATGTCTTGTGTGGTTTTAGCAGGGCAAGCTCTCCATCACTATAGCTCTGGGGGAGCATCCCTGGTCAGGAGGAGCAGGAAGCTGGCTCATCTTTGAAGGCAGGCTTGCTGAGCATCCAGAGCACTGTCAATTAATCCCTGACCAATCCTGTGGGACTGACATCACCTCCACCAGCCCACTACAGAGAAGGAAAAACACCCACCGTAGTGGCCCTGTAAATGGCAGTATGGGATCCAGACTCCATCATTCAGGTCAAGACCTAAGGTGAGCTCCTGCACCCTCCCACAGTGTTGTGCCCACTGTGTCTATCTCCTGGAACAGGGTCAGGCACCTGGATATAGCACATCCTGGTTAGCTTTGCTGTACAGCAACATTGCTGTACCACCAATGCTCCCTTCTGGCCCCTGTGACATGGAGCCTGGGGGCAGCATGGGTGTCATCTGGACCCATGGCTGGCTAAGGGGATAGCTCTATAGTGGAGGGAAACTGCAGAACCCCTATACTTCCTAAAACACCTGCCCAAACATAGCCATGGACCAACGCCCACCACACACCTTCAGGTAGGCAGGGAGGACCTGGCAGAGACTCAGCTCCTCTGGCACTGACCCAGCAACAGTGCAACTAAGTGGGGAGGGGATAAAAATCAGGCATAGTGAAATGATGTTCAGTAAATATTGGCCTGAATGAATGAAACTCACCTATTAAAGAACAAATGAGTGATCTTCCCTGCCGGATAGGGACCTTCTTTAAGTCTGAATTAATTGGTAAGGAAAATCATGATTTAACAGCCAAAATATGTGACCCAATGACATTTATGTCATGTGAACCAATAACTTACATGTAATTTGCACCACCCTCAGTAGACACTGTGCAAACGAAGGTTAACATAAACCTGACTTCCACGGAGAGATGAGGACAGTGAGGATCATGGTCTGTCATTTATGATGGTCTATTCTGCTTATCAGCAGCAAAGGGCCACTTTTCCAGAAACTCAGATGACATCCCTAGAGCTGGTGGTCTAAGTCAGTGCCACAAGCCTAGCTCTCACCCTGGGGGTGACTGCCACTTCCACTCTGAGGATGGGTGTGTCTTCATCTCTTTCTTCCAACAGGACACAGAAGCCCCACAGGTGATTCCAAGGCAAGTCCACAGAAGAAGCTCCAGTGGCCCAGAGCATGGCCTAGGCCCCTCCCTGTATGGATCAACACAGACTGCAACTGTTTATTAGCGTATTAACTAACTGTGCAGTGGGGTTTCACTGTGCTATCTCCATACGTGCACAGAATGTACTTTGATCAACTCCACCCCTGCATTACCTTTTCATCTTCCCTCTGCCCCCTTTTTATACAATTTTAATGGGTTTCATTACTGTTTTCACACATGCATATAATGTATTTAACAGACTGCAACTTTAACAAGAGAAAAGCTTTCCATCATCCATCTCCTGAGTGCTGGGGTATTGTACCCGTCAGCCCCTGTGCATACAGCAGTATCTGACTCCCACTTCCAGGTCTTGGTATAGTCCTGAAGGTGCAAACAGGTGTTGTGAGAGCATTGGGGTTGGGCTCAGCGAATATTTGGTCATCCTCTAGTCCCCACACCACCTTCAAGAGCCCCCATACCAGGGGAGGTCAGTTGTGTACAAAACCCTCCATTCCAGCACCTTCAAAACAAGTCAAAAGGTGACTGGAATGACTATGGAACTTCTTCATGCGCTGAAATGGGACGTTAGGTGTGCTAAGTGTATAGTAAAGTTTAAGACAGCACACATCAGCTGTTTCCAAGCTTGAGCCCTGTACACACAGGGTGCCCAAGACCCCTCAGGGTCTACCAGGCCCAGTCTTTCCAACTATGCAATATGAGGCCATATCTCATTCATAGACACAAACAAAAGACAGACTGCGATGGATCAAATACACATATGAAAGGCTTCTAAAATCACAGTTAAGAGTACTACTGGTGTTTGTAGTATACAACCTTTGTGTAAAAAATGGAAGAAATAAGGATGGATCTTCTGCACTAGTTTACACAGGCATAAAGACACTCAAAGGCTTAGGCCGGCAGTGTGCTCAAAAGGTAGCACACCTGCCTAGCAAGCATGAGGCCTTGAATTCAAACCTCAGTAGCCCTCTCCCCAAAAAAAGATTGAAACAGATCCCCCTCCCAGTGCATGGAAGAATGTACCTCTTTTTGTGTTAATTTGTGAACTATGTAGAACCTCTTCAGTCCCAAAAGCCAGAGGAAGCAGTAGGATCAGCCTAGCAGAAGGTGGGCCGACAGGCTGGGAAGGCTGTCTTCAGACCAAGGAGAGAGGATTCTTCTCTAAGGAAACAAAGGAAGGAGAGGGGAGGGGAGCAGAGTGGAGAAATGACCCAAAACAATGTATGCACATGTGAATAAATGAATAATAATAATAAAAAAAGATGTATCTTCCTTGGTTCAGCAAAAAAAAAAGCAAAGGCCCAGAGCTTCTAGCATGTGAACCCCACTGAATCTCAGTCAACAGCATGAGACAAACAGGAAGCTACCATGGAAAGGGAGGTAATTCAAGAACTAAAGGAAATGTATAATTTTTAAAAACAGAAACAGCCAAGTCATGTAACCAGAGATACTGGAGAAGTTACTGGGAACACATTGCTAAAGTGATCTGGTCAAGGAAAATAGTTTTCTAATAACAATCTTAAAAGTGTGACCATGCAGGCCATCTATGTGTCATGTGTGCTCATGCACAGAGTACAGGGAAAAAGAACACATCAGATGTAAACACAGCCTCACTCACTACTCCTGAGCTTCAGCCTCATCAAGTATAACTTAGGAGGAGAGATGATGGGGGTAATATAAATAATGTACAATATAAGCCTAATCAGAAGTGTCACTATTAATCCCCCCAAATAACGAATATATCATAATAAAAAATTTATTAATAAAAATAAACACCTTGTCTCCTTAGCTCCCTCTCCCCCCCAAAAAAAGTGTACCATAGCTAATGCCTCCTTTTACATTTACCCTGAGAATACAGTTACTTCCTTTTCCTGTGACACTGCACTCCCTAGCCTTAGTAGGTCCTAAGTAAGTGGCATTCTTGTTGCACATGACAGAAGAAAAAGGCGATGGTACACCTTGACAGAGATGGTGCACATGACAGAGTCTTACTATGTAATCCAGGCTGGCCTTGAACTCACCTCCTGAATCCTGGGATTTACAGGTATGTGCCACTATGGCCATCTCAAAATGATTCTCAAAAGACAACAGAATTCACAATGAAACATGTTTACAATTAATGATCATTTACTGTTTTCACATTTTCACTTATACAATGTGCATACACAGGGGAAAATAGGCTCTGTAGACACAGAGACATGGAAGCAATCACAAAAAAAAAAAGAAAGACGAACTCTGGCGAGGAAAATGGAACTGCATTTTATGCCTTCTGTGTACATCAACTAGGGAAAGAAAAAGAAAGATTATACAGGATCATTAACTGATACAGAAAATAAATTTGGATCATTCTGTCTAAACTGCACGAACTTCTTACGATCCAGATGGCTACCCTGGGTCATGGATGACCTAAAATAGACAAGCTTTGTTTGGCCTTCTTTTGAGAGCCTGAAATTAACTCAAAGAATTAAAAGAACAGAGCTAAAAGAACAATCACATCAGCAGTTTTCAATGTCAGCAGCCAACTTCTTCCAGGCCTGGATCATTATTTAAAAGTATACATGGAAATAAAATGCTTACTCAAGGCTGAAAAAGCATTTTGTTCCACCTTAACGCACTTCCTAACTTAGTGTGCAGCCCCATAAAAAAACGACATGGTTAAAGCTATCACAAGGGTAGAGTCTACTGGAGTTGGGCCCAGGAAATGATATACCTGAGCCTATCTTCATACCCAGTATGCATTTCATACCAAAATGAAGTCACTAAGGACTCTGGCTACTTAATGAGCTGGCCTCCACTGGGAGCAGGGACTGGAGAGGAAGATGTGCATGAGACACAGGAAAATGTTTTACTTTGAAGCATTCCAGGGACACAACCCAATACTCTGGCTCCAGGAATTCCAATACTTACTAACTCTAAATTCAAAATTAAACATATTAAAAATGCACATTAAAAACTGATTTTACTATTTTGTAAGTAAAGCATACAGCTTTAATAATATTTACAAACTGAGCAAAAGTCATTGTTATGACATAGGATGTAAAATCAACATTATATTTGTTAAAGCAACACATTAAATCATCAACACCATGTTGTCACACATCCTGTCTACCCACTCATAGAGATGACAGTAAAGTGACGGCACTTCCTTTCAGCTGGAAACAGACACTTCCATGTAACAAGTCCTCCAGAAGTGGCTGTGGGCACCACAGGTCCATTTGGCAGCTGGCTTCACAACCTCAGGAGGTAGGGCCAGCCGAGACAGAATGTGGGAAAAGAGGGCTGTATGGAGTTGTGGGGCTGGGGTCTGCACTGCTAACATGCCAGTGTGAAAGTACGCTGTTGAACACATGCACGACAAAAAACTGACATTAGGAGCTTCAAAACACATAAAACAGAAATAGGAATATTAGAAATACATAATTCATGATATGGAAAATACAAGTATTTGTTAGAAAGGCAGGACTGTGGGTTTTTGAGCTTTGCTCATTTGGGGCTCAAAACTAAATGCTTCTCAGCTTCTCTATCATGTGTGGGTCAGGAACAAACACAAGGCTGGGTCCTGGCTGGTTTGAAGGATTCTGAGCCAGGCCCTCAAGTTTCTAGACTCCATTTCTCACACCCATCTCAACTACGGTCCATCCCAGCACCTAGAGGACAGCTGGAGTGTCGTATCCCTATACAGGACAGGCCTCCAGAGAGGAAGGAAAAAACCACTCTCATTCAGTACAATCTCCAGAAAGCCAGAGGCAGGAACACTCACCTATGTTTCTCCCTCCATTTTCCTCAGCATTCTTTTAATATTACTTTCAACAAGTAGAAAAATAAGCTCTAAGTAAGCTTTGCTGGCAATAAACAGACCTAAAGCAGACACTAAAAATACCTATCTGAACAATGGAAATCTACTTCCATACACCTGTTCCTGATCTGCCTTCTAAAATTCTGAGGCTCAAACTTATTACTGATTTGAGACATTGTTCAAGTATCGCTAATGAAAAAACAAACGACCAGGATACAAGAATTCTGCTCTAGTGTTGGGCAGATTTCTGAAGCATCATTTTTAAGGGGCGGGGGAGGGTGGGGAGGATGCACATCATTGTGGCCTTGCTGAGGGCCCATGGAGCCCAGAGGCAGGTCAAACCGTGGTCTTCAGGAAGCCGCCTGGCAGTTTACCAGCCACAACTCCCAAGGTAACGTCTGAGATTTGCAAGCTTAAGGGGAAACCAAAAGTGGCTGCAGCTTTTGTTGTCAAAATCACACTTACTCATTCATCATTATATTCTTGGCAGAGCATAAAAAGAAATGATCCCTTAAGCACTACATCTAACTGTGAAAAGAAAGTGCCTTTCAAGACAGGTATGTTTAACTAAGGTACTCCAAGAGTTCTGCAAGAAGACTTGGAATGAGCCTGTACCCTAAAAGAGAACACATTTTAGTTAAACAGCTTCAAACCTTCTGTGTGGTACATATATAGATTACAATGATGATAAGATCACTATTTTCAAAAGAACTATTAAAACATTATTAAAAACATTTGTCACAAACAGAAATGCCCTGCAAATCATATTATTGCACACAGGGTTATTAGAAGCTATGCACACAAGATTCTGAAGACTCTAGAAGACCCAGAACAGAGACCCTAAGGCCATGCCTGTGGCCGCTCCAGCCAGCATGCCTAGCGCCAGGTCACTGTCATTGTCTCGATACCGCTCACGAATGATGACTTGGTTGGCAGGCTGCTGTCCATAAAGTCCTAAAAGAGAAGGAAAAAAAAAAACAGAACATTGAGGATCAGTTTGTGAATTTCTAGCTCCTTGACTGTGAGTGCTGTGTCTGTTCTTATGACCAGCTCCTTTCCTGTTGACTGGAGCCCTACCTTCCTTTGGAGAGGTAATGGCAGATGTCGTACTGAGTTTGTCCCAGCCATCTTCCACCAGGCCCAGCACATGCTCTGCCAGGGAGGAACCTCCACCACCTAAGACTGCAACTGAGAAAATCAACATCCCTGGCTTTCCAGGGCCAAAGTCCCTAACACCATGAAAAGCAGAGTCCTCGTGAAGCTGAAGACTCCCGTTTCTAGTTTCCACATCAGCACTCTATGCAGTGCTCACTGGGAGGAGAGATAAATGCAGAGAGCACAGGAGATACGTGTCCTGCAGACAACAGGACTGCCAACAATTCCCATCTAGCCCAGAAGGGAAAAGCTCATTTTAAAAGTGAATTAGTTTCTTAGTATTCTGGCAAATCAATTCTTAAATTAAACCTTAAATGTGCTAATATAACTTGCTCTTTTATTTTTGGTAGTACTAGAGTTTAAACTCAAGCCTTCATGCTTGCTCAGCAGGCGCTTTACCACTTGAGCCACGCCACCAGCTCTTTTCGCTCTGGTTATTTTCGAGACAGGGTCTCATGCTTTTTGCCCAGGGCGGCCTGGACCATGATCCTCCTATTTTTAGGCTTCCCACCATAGCTAGGATGACAGTCATGTGTTACCATCCCAACTAATTCAGTTCAGATGGGGGTCTCATGAACTTTTTTGCCCAGGCTGGCCTGGAACCAAAATCTGCCCCATCTCAACCTCTGGCATAGCGTGGGATGACAGGCGTATGCCATAGCAACAAGCTATTGGTTGAGATGAGCTCTTACAAACTTTTTGCCCACAATGCGATCCTCCTTATCTCAGCCTCCCAAATAGCTAGGATTAAAGGCGCAAGCCACCAGCACCCAGCATTTGTTTCTCCTTTTTTCTTTATTATTAGTTATTTTGTAGTACTGAACATCGAATCTGGGACCTTAGCAAGGACTCTACCACTAAGCCCCCAACCCTTATTTTCATTCAAATTATGTCTTTGTGTGATTACATTATGAGAAAAAATAAATATTTATGTTAGAGGTGAATCTTTTTTAAAAGCAAACCTTAACTAAATTTAATCCTCCTTGATCCTATATTCCTAAAACAATCCAACCCCAGCAGAGGTGGAAGGTAATCCATCAGTACATGAGCTTGTAGACAAAGAACAGAAGGAAAGCAACAGTGCTCAGGAAGGCTGGTGCTTCCAAGTGTGTGCCCGCTTAGGCATTTACAGGATTATCCACATATCTGTGCTGGCTCCATCTTCACAACAATCCTGGAGTCTGTTGTCATCCCCAGTTTACAGACTGAGGCACAGGAGTTGAGGGCAGTAAGGCACACAAATCCAGGTGCTTTAGCTATAGTCTGTGCTCATAACCCCTACACCTCAAACATGACAGAAGATACTATAGAGAAATCAAAGCCATAAAGTAGTACAATGAGACCACTATACATCAAAGAACTGACCAAGTACAGGTATTAGCATTCAAAGTAAATGATTTTTCATGCAAAATTTCAAAACTTATGAATGACAGCATACTCTTACAGCTTTGAAATGTTAAAATGTTTAGTTTTGTAACTTCAACAGTGTAGCAAGATATGAAGACAGTCTCCATAAAACAGAAATAGAAGACACCAAGCAAAGGAGACATTCAAAGCAACAATTTCAACCTGACATCCAAAGACAGCTGAACCAATTCCATTAACATGTGCTAGTTAAAGTAGGACACTTTCAGTAGGTTATGTGTCCAGCACACTTTGCACATTTTCCATTGGTCAACCAACCTCTGGTTATAGGAAGGTCTCTATGGACTAGCTATAGGCAGCGAGGCCCTGAAAGGCAGGTGGGCAAAGTGCCATGGTGTAAAGTGCCATAGTGTCTCAGGAAGGATGATGACCAGCAACCCTGTGGGTGCCAGCACACCACTGCTTTGGGACGACCACACACCTACCTGGCCCTTCCACGGTAAGTGTGCCTGCACAGGCTGGTAACCACACTGAGGCTGGAAACTATCAACTTGGCCCTTCCACATTCACCCACCTGCTGACTGATCACAATGCCTATTGACTCAGTGCAGCAAGTAAGGGGCATCATCTCTTTTCTCCTGAGGAGAACTGAGGGCAAGGATGGAATCTCATTTCCAGACCATTCCCTTTACAACTGCTTCTGCAATACTGCTCTTCTATACAATAAGAAAACAGTTGTGTCCCTACCATTCTGGAGGCTGGGAGCCTAGTAAGAAGCCAAATCTCACATGGTAAAATATTGTTTCAAATACTACCATCTCCATCAGGACCCCAACAGGTAAATAAATGGGCAAAGGAAAGTAATTCATACAATGGGAAACATAACTAGTTTATAATTTTAAAGACAATGTTAATCCTTGCCAGTCATCCTAAAAACATAAATTTAAAAAAATCTGTGGTTCTCCTTTAGACTACTGAAGAACATAAGAATAGTTGATCTTACAGGAATACAAAGAAACAGGTATGTCATTAACCTCTGGTAGCATTATAAATTGGTCTGAGAATCAATTTGGTAAAATGTTCTCAAGACTTAGGTAGTATTTGTGGGGTAGGAGGGTAATACTGAGGTTTTGAACTCACCACCTGAGCCACACCTCCACCTCTAGCTTTTTTTGCTTTTAACTATTTTTCAGATAGGTCTTGGACTTTTTGCCACAGCTGGCTGGCCTCAGACCGTAATCATCCTACCTGTGCACTAAGTAGCTTGAATTACAGGTATGTACCACCCAGCTTTATTTTTGACATAGGATCTCACGCCATGTTTTTGCCCATGATATTCCTACCTCTATCGCCCGAGTAGCTAGGATTATAGGTATAAGACACTGCGCCCAGTAACTTTTTGCAATATTAACACATGAAATGATATAAAATCTGAGATTTTCCTCAAAACAATCCAGAGGTAGAGAGAGGAGGTAGAAGGAGAAATGAGAGAGGGTTAGTCAAGTTGTGGTAACTTCTGAAGCTAGAGGTAAGCATTCACATGAGAGTTTACTATGTCATTGCTTCCTCTTTGTATACTTAAAACTTCCATAATTTTTTAATATTATCAAAGGAAAAATCTCTATTCTGACACTTATTAAATCAAACAGAAATAGACTCTAGGACATATTTAATAGAAATAAAAATGGAAATAATTTTAAAAATTCAAAGCAGTATTACAATAGCAAAAAAAAGGAAAAGAAAAAAATCAGTCAATACTGATAAATATCACCCAATGTAACATACAATTATTAAAAATATGTAAAAATATTTTGCAGCACTCTGGACAATATATAAAAATTAAAATTCACAATACAAATACAAAATGCAATGTATTATTACAAGGATAAAATATTTATATGGGGAAAGCAGTTGAAATAAAAATAACTGTGCTAGGATCACAGGATCATGGCAAAACTTTTAATGTCATAATTATTATTTTACTGGTTTTCAACCTGACACAAAAAAGCAAAGCAGAATCCTCCCCAGTCCACGGCAATCAGTCAGATGGATTTCATCAGCTTCCAAGCAAAGAACATAATGAGCTTCCTCTACTTGCACTCAAGAAGCCTCCTCTCACGTAACATGCTCACACACCAGAAGCCAAAGCAGGAGCCAGCAATGATGAGGGCACTAAGGTGTCATGGCTACCCTGGACACTACCCTTCTGGGGAAGCTCGTCCTCTGACCACTTCGTTCAGACCCTATGTAGTTCTGCTCACACCCTGTGGACAACTCTTCTGCAGACCCCCACTATCCCGTGCTCTACAGCTCTGGGCTCAGGTCCAACCACCTGCCACTGTGTGCTCCTGTGAAGCTAGCCCTGGCTAGCTTCGGGACAGCCTTGCTCTTCTGCCCTCACTGCCTTCACTTCAGCTCCAGCCCCACAGCCTCATGCAGTGACCAGTGGCCGCCCACTTCCTGCCTGTAGACCCCATTCCCAAAATATCGAGGACTCCTGTCTACTCAGACCAGTGACTCAGCATCTACAATTTGTTTCAGGTGAGGCAAAGAATGGAAAGTACATCCAAAACCCAGAATAAACAGAAGCCCCTTGCAGGCCTCTGCACCTCACTGCAGAAGAGAATACTTTCTCAGTAGTGACAACTGACCAAGGATGTTAACAGAAGGAAAAGAACAGGTGAAAGTTCACCTCTCATCCCATAAAACAGGCCTATTACTTGGACTGCTTCTTGATAAACTGAATCCCAAAAGTACTACTTCTCTTCTTGGAAACTAATCTGCACACAATAGCGAAGCTCTAAAAATCAAGACTACTTTAGAACTTTGTAAAGCAATGTAGAATTACAAAAGACCTATAAAGCAAGTGCATGGCTGGAGGTTTGGCTCAAGTGGTAGAGTATCTGCCTTGCAAGTGCAAGGCCTGAGTTCAAACCCCAGTACCACCAAAAAAGAAAAAAGCAAACACACGAAAAACATAGTAGCCAAGTGATTTGTGATCTCTAAAAAAAATGTAGCTAATTTAACCATAAACAGAAATAATTCTTGTAGGCCTACTCACTAAGTGAAGAGAACTGGAGTGGCAGGCTGGCACACATTACCTGGGTATGGGTACTGATAGGGCACAGCATATGCCTGCCCGTTTGCAGCATAGACAACCTGAGTTCCTGTCGGGTATACACCACTGTATGGACCGTAGCCATACACCTGCTGGAAAGAAAAAGACCCATTAGAAATACAATCTCAAAAGTCCTAAAAACATATCAGAATTGGGTCACCAGGTGGCAGTCAATAAAATTTAGATCAATTAAAAGAAAAAAAAAAAAGAAAAGAACTTGAGCCAGTGTGGTTATACCTTGTTCTATTTAAAATTACTAAAACTTAAGTTAAACACCTATACTTGGAGTTCACTTTCAGGCTATAAAATGAAGAAAGACAGTAAAATACAATAGAAAAGAGAACTGGACTTGTAAGAAATCTGGATTTCACTTCAGCTGCACCATCACCTTGACCCTTGATAGATTACCCACCTAATCACACTGAACTTTTATCTTGTTCATTTGTAAGGGGATCAGGTTGCATGAGGTGAGAGTGAAATTCATTCAAAACCAGTATTCCCCACATGAAACCAGACAAATTGTAGAACTTTCCCCAGCCCGATTTTAGACAATTGGAAGGAAAATATGGAGGGTGGGTGTGCCTGTGGTCTGGCAGAGGGATTGGGCAGGTGACTGGTTTTCTGGCCACACAAACCTAAGAAAGGCCACTGTCATAAATGCCTCTAATGACTGAGCAAATGAACTATGTGCCAAGAAATGCAGAGGTATAGGCCAACTTCCTTATGAGCTCATAGGTAAAAGTTCATGGTCACATTACACCCATGATATGACCAGGACTCCAATACAGGGAATCTGGAATCCAGGTACAAATCTACAGATCTCAAATTTTGTTAGCTTACAAAAACAGGAGACAGGACTTTCATTTATAGAAGATGGAACAGACCTTCTTTCCCTGTTCTTCCTGCTAAGTATTCTTAAAACCCTGAACATTGTATGCAAAATAAACACAAGAAAGATCTAATGGTGGAGAGAAGACTAGTAGTCTCAGGAACTGAGGGAAGACACATGGCAAGTCCTCTGGGCTTACTTCTTGCCTAAAAATTCCAGAATAGGAGAGAAGCAGTAACTAGGAAATACCAGTAAGTACAGACCAAAAACACCCAAGAAAACCCTGCTCTCCCTACTCAAAGGCCCCGAGAAGGAAAGGGGCAGCCTAGTAAGAGGGAGCATTTTTAGATGATAAGCTGTCTCTAGGGTTGAGGGCATGGCTCAAGTGGTAGATCACTTGCCTAGATGATAAGCTCTCTAAGCAAACACCACAGAAAACATGCAGCTCCAACCCTATCCCCACCAGCAAAGGAGTATGTGTGGAGAGCCTCAACTCCCATGTTCACTATGCCCTAAGAAGGCTTCCCCTGGCCCCCAGAGTACTGTCAGAGAAGACTGAGTGAGGAGGGGGAATTCTGTCCCTCCCACCATGTCAGTGGAGGCCATGTGAGAGGCCAGATGCCCACCCTGCACCATAGAAAAAAGGTGTTCCTCCCTATCCCCCAGGGGTGCAGTTAGCACAGGCCTAGTGAAGTGTATTCCACGCAGCAGGGACCACGGCACCTGTCAATGGAGGCAAGGCAGGAGCAGTGATGGGGAGACCCCCTCCAGCCCCAGACAAAGATCTCTGAGAACTAGCAAACAACTGACTGTCAACCCTCCTGCAGTGACATGGAACCCAGCCCTTGAGGACAGCCACAACCCAGCAGAGCGCCTACACTTCCACCCCCAGCTGGCAAGAAGGCCACTAAAACATAAGACTTAAGTAAGATTCAGAGCCTCACCCTACTTAAAACCCTGGGGTTTAACCAAAACCAATTTGTCATACCAAGAACCACAAAGATCTCAAACTGAATGACAAAGACACCAACACCAAGATGACAAAGATGGTAAAATTAAGGGCTGGGATGTAGCTCAGTGGCAGAGCATTTGTCTAGTATGTAAGAGGCCCTGGATTCCATCCCCAGAACCACCACCAAGAAAAAATAAAATAAAATAAAAAATAAATTTAAAAAATCATGGTAGAATTATCTGGCAAGGATTTCAGCTATTATAATAATATTTCAATGAACAATTATGAACTCACAAGCAACTTCATTTATGAAATACATCTTCAGAAAAACAGAAACTCTTCCCCCAAATTATAAAACCAGTAAGAAACATAAATATATCAAGATATAAATAACCAAATGAAAAATTTAGGGCTAAGAAAATAGAACTAATATAAACAACTCAATGAATGTTCTCCACAGCAGAGTGAGTGAACATGAGACCAAAGAGATGCTGCCCCATCACGGCACAGAGAAAACAGACTACAGATATGTGAGTGACAACAGATCTGACACTGTCATAGCAGTCCCTTAGGACAGGAGAAAGAGGGTTGACTGGAAAAAATTCAAGAAACACTGGCTTAAAATTCTCTAAATTTAGCTCAAAACATAAACCTATATATTCAAAAAGGTAAACAAACACCAAACAGAGTAAGCCTACAGAAATCCACACCAATACACACTAAATTCAAACTTGTGAAAACAAACACTAAGAATGCCAGAGAAGGGAAGAAGAACAGAAATAATGCACTGGGCAACAGAAAAAGTGAATAAAATGAAAAGACAATTCTTTGAAAAGATAAGTAAAACTGACAAACCTCTACCTGAGAGGACAGTTCACAAATTATTAATATCCAGGATTAATTAAACAGAGACTGTATCACTATAGACTCACAGACATCACAACAAAATACTGAGGGCCAGGCATGGCAGCACACACCTCAGGAGGCAGAGATTAGAAGGACTGCAGTTTGAAGCCAGGCAAAACAAGTCTGGTATGGTGGAGCATGCCTTGAACCCCAAGGACAGGGGAGGATCATGGTCTGAGGCTGGCCCCAGGCAAAAAGCACTAGATCCTAGCTTAAAAAAATAGCTAAAGCAAAAAAGGTCAGAGGGCGTGGCTCCCATGGTAGAGCACCTGCCTAGCAACCACAAGGCCCTGAGTTTAAACCCCAGTACCACCAAAAGCTATGAAGCACTCTACACACATAAACTAGAAACCTGTAGCAAAAGTACCAATTCCTCAAAAATACCAAAACCAACCAACTCAATATGAAACAGAAAATTTGAGTAGCCCTGTAACTATTAATAAAATCAATCTGTAATTCAAATCTCCCAAAAAAGAAATCTCCAGACTCAAAGTTTCACTGAAGATTCCCACCAAATATTTAAGGGAAAATTCATACCAGCTCTACACAATTTCTTCCGGAAAACAGAAAAGTGGGGAAAACTTTACAATTTACTCTATTAAAGCCAGTATTACACAAAACAGAAAGCATGCAAAAGAATAAAACTATATGCTAACATCACTCATTCATATAGATGTCACAATCCTCAAAAAATATTAGCAAACAGAATTCTGCAATAAAGAAAAAGAATTAGAGGTCAGGTGTGGTGGCACATGCCTGTAAAACAAACTACTCAGGAGGTGGAAATGAGGAGAATCATGTTTGAAGCAAGGCCAGCAAAGTGAGACTTCATCTCAACCAAAAATCTGGGCATGGTGGTACACACTGACCAACTATGCAGGAGGCATAGGCAGGAGGATCATGGTCCAAGGCCAGACCTGAGCAAAACTGAAAAATCCTAGCCAAAAAATTAAAGCATAAAAGGGCTGGAGGCATGGCTCAAGTGTGAGTGAGGCCCTGAGTTTAAGCCCAAGTACCACCAAAAAAAAAAAAGAATTTAGATGCCACGACCAAGTACAGTTCATTCCAGAAAATGCAAGCTGTCCACTACTTGAAAATCAATGTAATCCACCATATACACAGGCTAAAGAAAAAAACCCAGAAGAATCACATAATTGTATCAATTCATTCAGAAAAAGTATTTAACCAAATCTAACACCCTTTCATGATAAAAACACAGGAAACTTGAAAAAAAGAAATACCTCAACCTGACAAAGAAATCTACCAAGAAAAACCCTCCAGTTAACATCATACAAATGAAGGCTCATTTAATACTGTACACATTTTCCTAAAACCAAGAACAAGGAGAGGACATCCTGCCTCACCACTGCATTCAGAGTCACATGGCATATTCTAACTAATGTGACAAGGCAAGGAAAGAAGGCACACAGATCAGAAAACAAGACACAAAATGGTCCCTATTTGTACACAGCACAGATTGTCAACGAAGAATGCCCCAAGGAACCTACAAAAAAGAACATGGAAGTTTAGTAAGTTCACAGGCATAAGATCAGCTGTTACAAAGATCACTTGTATCTCACATACCTGCAATAATATGGGAAACCTAAAATTAAAAATACAGTATCACATATGATCACTTGAAAAAGATGAAATCCATAAAAATCTAAGAAAGCACATACAAGACTGTTATACTGAATACTTCAAAAAGCTGATGAAAGAAATCAGAGAAGACCTAAACAGAGAAGCAATCTCTGCTCCTAGACTGGGAGACTTAACACAGTGAAGATGTTATTTCTCTACAAATAAACATGAAACACAGGTTTAACGTAATTTCTGTCAAAGCTTTGCAAGATTTTGCAGTAGGCACTGATAAATTTATATGGAAAAGCAATGGAAGCAGAATGGCTAAGGCAATTAATTCCAAAAAGGAAGAATAGGGGGTAATTAGACTACCCAATTTCAAGATTTATTACTTTATATGGCTACAATATTACAGACTGGGTAGTGCCAGAGAAAGATAAACACATAGATCAAGGGAGCAGAATAAGCACCCAGAAACAGACACCCACCTTGTAAAAAATTAACTCAAAATGGATCACAGACTTAAGTATAAAATCTAAGACAATAATACTTTCAGAAGATAATGTTGGAGAGAATCTTAGGAGACCTGGGCTTATGAGACTTGAATTGTTAGATGTGACAATAAAATTTCTGGATCTCCAAATGATCCAGTAAAGGAAAAACTGATGAACTGGAATACATCAAAAATTTAAAACTCTGTGAAAGGTCTCATTAAGAGGGTGAAAAATAAGCTACCGGTCTGGGGGTGTGGCTCGGTGGTGGTGAGCTTGCTTAAGCATGTGCAAAGACCTGTGTTCCATGCCCCACAACACAGAGAAAAAAAACTAGTTACAAGCCACAAGTCTGGCAAAGGATCCTATCTCAAACACACGTATAAGAATTCTCGAAAGTCAGCATTTAAAAAAAAAAAATGTAATTAGGAAAATGGGAAGAGATGAAGAGACATTTTCACTAATGAGGAAATACAGATGGCAAATAAGCACATGAAAAGCTGTCATCATCAATGGCTGTTAGGGAAATGCAAATTAAGACACAACGAGGGCAGCACACATCAGAACAGCTAAAACAAAAAATGAGGATACAGAGAGACTCACTGATTAGCAAAGTCAAGCTTTAAAAAAAACCTAAACATGTACTTACCATATGTTATAACCCAGTAATTGCACATCTGGGTATTTACCCCAGAGAAATGTAACCTCATGTGTCCAATAACCTATTCACAAGTGTGCTCACAATAGGTTTACAGGCAACAGCCAAACGCTGGAAACAACCAAAATGTCCCTTTCCAGGTCAGTGTCACTCAATACAGAATGCAGGCCATCCATACCCTGGAACACAACACAGCAATAAAAAAGAACAGACAACTGATATGCTGTACGTAGGTGGGTCTCAACGGCATTAGTGCTGAGTGAGAAACACCAAACTCAAGAGAGCACACACTGCAGAATTCTACTTAAGACACTGTCAAAATAATAAAACCAGAGATGGAGAATAGGTTAGTGTTGACTGACAAGGGAAGGGAGTGTGTCACAGGAGGAAGATTTTGGGAAGAATTCTGAGTCATGACTGAGATGGTGGCCATAGCAATGTACACACCAGACACAATGACACAGGATAAGACAAATACTGTACCAATTCAAAATTCCTGCTACAGAAACCAGCTGAAAAGAACACAAGTCTGTACTGTCTGCAATTTCCAGTGAATCTGCAATTATCTTCAAATTAAAAATTTTAAAAACAGGTATGCCTCACACAATGGACACTGATACATGTAGCACTCAACAGTCAGAACCCTAGCTAGCATATACCCATGGTAGCTGACTTGGAATCTTTTAAAGGTTTTTTTCCCAAAAAATAAAAATCACATTTTTTTCTGATTATAAATAGAATTCAAGTAATTCATTACACATGAATCATCAAAATATCATTACCCAAAGCAACTATGATTAACATGATTCATCTTTAGGTCTATCTTAAAAACAAAATATTTGAACATGAATAAAAAACATAAAGTAGTTGCTTTTACTTTATAAAAGCAAAATGAGGAACAACGTTTTAAAAAAGGTTTAGAGTACATTTCTAACTTCTGATACTGGCTCAAAATTAAAACAAAAGACAGACATAGGACTACTGCAGAGCCCCAAGCTCTCTCCCCTGGATGCTCTCTTGCTCAGGTTTGCTCCTACCTCAGGGGTCGGTGCTGCATAGGCCGTGTACGGAGGGGGTGAGGAAACCACGGCTGTCTCATCAGACAGGGTTGCTGAGCCGACGTAAGCCTGTATGAGAAGGGAGAAGAGGAGGGTAAATAGGGAGCACTTCTGTTTAGCAAATAAAAAATGAAAAGTCAAAAAACTGCAGCTCTCTGAGAAGTAGGAAAACCTCCCACTGGAGGAGGAGGGGTATCTCACAAGGATGTCCTGAGTCCAGGAGCAAGGTGGCCACCCCTGCTCAGCCCTAGTAGAAGCAGAGCTCTCTCACTGCCCAGGAAGGCCCTGCAGGCTCATTGCTCGGCAGCGGAAAAGGAAAACAAGTAGCTGTTTTAAAAATCCACACAAGAATCCCCTTGGGAATTTGCCCCTCACTCTATGGATCAGAGAGACAATTTCATCCAAAAGGAGGACTATGCAGAAAGAAGGTAACTAGGTGAGATTGGGAGGAACCATTTTGGCTAACAAGAGTAGAAAACACTGACAATATGGATATTCAACCTTTCTATTTTTTTTTCCCACAGGCAAAAATTCTTCTGTAAGCCTCATCTACTGTTTTCTTTTCTTTCTACGGAGACAAAAATAAAGTCCCATCTGAAGAATGGGGCTATTCCCTTAATTCTCTGACAGCCAGGAGGTATCACTAGGTCCTACAAGTGGAGTTGTCTCTGTGAGCTCTTGAGGTCAGAAAGGACTAGAGGTGAGTGGAAAGCCCCAAAACACTCAGAGTTCACAAGGTTGAGATGCCAGCATAAAATGGATACTGTGGCTCTTTTTGAGCCTTCACTACAAAGCATGGAATTCAAGGTATCACCAAGTTGGAGAAATAAAACATCTCTAGACAATACGGGAATGAGGGTGCCTGTGTGAGGAGGGCTCCTCCTGCCAAGACATGTGGCAAATCCAGGTTTGACCAGCGTCAGCAATAGACAACTTGCCCAGCTCTGCCCATTTGCGCTGGGTGGGCAAGAAAACCCTACCTCCTCCGTTTACTTTCTGACTCAAGATATGCAAACAATACTGGTAATTGCCATTAGCAACTTACAGTGTTTGTTCTAGAATCCTGCAGCATAAATTTCCAGGCCCTGGAGAAAACAAAAAGGATACTTCAATTCAGCATTTCAATGATTCTCAAATTCAGGTTGGCATCAGAATTCCTAAAAAAGCTTGTTAAAGAACAGGTCTTGAGCCTTACCTGAAGATCCACTCAATCAACTCATCACAACATGAGCAAGGAATATAATATACATAAGCATATATATAATACGCATATAGCTGTATATATATACAGACATATATACACATCTATAGTATAAAATTAACATTTAAATCATAATTATACATTTAATATCTGCTTTACTTTTTAATAAATGTGAAATGTACTGCAATTTGCTTTGTCAGTTCAAAACACATCCCCAGATTTGCTTCATTTTTAATTGTTACATAATGTTTCAAGATGAGTACATTCAGATAACCAGCAATTTTTTGTAATTCAAAAGAATGCTTCTATTAACATCCTTATATTACCCTTGTACTCTTATAAACATTTCTGCAGGAGGAATCCCAGAGAAAAACTACTAGGTTTATCTCAGTGGGTACTGCAAAAGATCCTGTAGGATGTAACAATCTCCGCCCCTCCCAACCTTCTTCCTTTATACAGTCACAAAAATTAGGTATTTGAATCTAAAGTCTCTCAGAGTTTTCTGAATTCTTCCTCCCTCGCCCCTCCTTTTTGTTTCTAACCCCCATCCCTCTTCTCTCATCTCTATCTTTTCCACCTATGTTTTATTCTCAATCTACTCTCCTTGAGTTGAAATATTAGCTTGTTTATTTTCAAATGTTCTGGTTTTCTAATGAATGTGCCTAAGTTGTGAAATTCTCAGTAGATGTAACATGTTTCTGCTGCTACAGGAATACCACACTGGATTATCCTTGTATCCTCTGTGGATTCTTTGGTTATTTCAGGTGGGACAGTCTGTTGTGGCCTTTGATCTGCAAATTCAGTCATATTATTCCCAGAACATTTTTCTGAATACCTCTTTTTTGGGTCCTGTACTTTCTGGACTTTAATAAGCTTTGTGAACTATTTTACTCTAACACAGCTTTAGTCTTTCTTCAATTCCTCTCATCCTTTCCCTGCTTTCTCTGAGATTTCCTCCATGCTAATGAGTCACTTTTCCACTGGGTTGTCAACCTGGGAAAGTCATTTGCTTTAGCTTAAAAATAAGAATGATATCCCACCCCCCTCCCTGGGACAGTGACAGCCTAGGCTATAGACACAAAGAAATATAAATCCCTGCTCTTTCACAGCATCTGTTCTACTGAGAAAGAGATAAAAAAACAAGACCAACAGCTGATAGGTGGAGGGGGAGGGAGAAGGGGGAGGGGGGCAGACAGACAGCAACAGCAACAACCAGAGCTGGGGAGGGAGGTGGAATTTTAAACACAGAGCTAGGAGACTCTGCTTCTGTTCCTTGGGTTTTACTGTCCTGCAGACTAGGAGCTTTTTCTGAGGCTGGCAATCCTTCCCTCATTTTTCTTTATGGCATATTGTCAGAGTTGCCCATCCACTTCTATGTGCCCTGCTCATGTTCAATCTGGAAAGTGATAGGTAAAACTTGTATTTACTTGGGTAACAGTAACTGGGAACTCCACCCCTCCACTCCAGCAGCAGCTCAATGGACAAGGTGTTATCCATAATCACTTTTCTGTAATCAGAGGGCAAAAGGTAGGAGATATTTCTACTGGTAATGAGTAAGTCTTTTTTGAAAATCTGTGTCCTACACTGTCCTCTGAGCATATTCCTTTGAATGAGTCATGCTGAGGTTCAAGTAACCAACCAGAAAATTATTCAACTCACATGAGCATCAATCAAGCTCCCTGTCATAACAGCCTGGGGAAACTTCCAGCTTCTGCTGAGGTCCCAGGGTTATTTGCTTCAAGGGCTTTCCTTAGCTTTTCCAAAAAGTATCTTACTCTCTTAATCACATCATTCTAGACTAGGATATTACTGCAAGTTTGCAAGGTTTGTTTAATTCATGTCGTTGCTGCCTCTGGGATCTGAGGTGGGGTTATAAACAGTGACACACTTCCACACAACTGTCTACTTCTTTCTTTGGCTATTTGCAGTTTGTGCTTAGAGTCCAACTTCTTTATTTGGCTGTTGCTATTGAGGTGTTTTCCCTCATTTCACTAGATAGTTGGGGAAGATGATCCAGATTCATTTCACAATCTTTGCTCAGAGGTCTCCATTATGGATTGACTCATGTCCCCCCAAAATATATGTTGAAGTCCTAATCCTCTAACCCTACTTCTTTACTTAGAAATAGGGGCTTTGTAGATGGAATCAAATTAAAATGAAGTCATGTAAAGGACTGGTGTCTTTTATAAGGGGAACTCTAGACCCAGACACACAGAAGACCATGTGACAACAGAGGCACAGACTGTAGTACTACAGTTGTAAACCACGGACCAGACCTGAGAGCTAGAGAGACGCAGAGAAGAGTCCTCCCAGGATACAGGTAGCAAGGCCATGGAGAAACTAATTCCAGACCCTGACCCCCAGAATGCCAGCAAGCCAGAGTCTCCTGTTTAAGTTACCCAATCTGTAGTGCTGGGTACAGCAGCCCTAGCAAACTAAGCCTCCTACTCTGCTTTTTAACCTTTCTGTCATTTTATTTCAGCATGTTTCTTATTAACAGGAAAACAGCTGAACTTTGTATCTTCTGCCTAATCTCAAACCTTATTCTTCTAAGGTAATTTAACCAACTCACATTCATTGAGAACATAAATACTGTCAGTCTAACTACTGCCAGATCATTTCCTATCATGATTGATCACATTTTCCTATTCCTGCTTTTTCTTTTCATGAACAACATGAACAATTTCTATTCCTTTTTATTCTTCTAATTTAAAAAAGTATTATCTTCCATTTGTACCCGCCCTAATTTACATCTTTAAAAATCAGACAGAGGCTCAGGCATGGTAATACATGCCTGTAATCCAACTACATGGGAGGTGAAGACTGGGAAAATCAGGGCTCAAGGCCAGTCCAGCAAAAAGTTAGCTGGACTCTGACTCAACCAGTAAACTAGGTAGAGTGGTTCTGCCTTTAATCCCAGCTCCATGGAGGCATAGGTAAGAGGATCACCATCCAAGGTCCTAGGCAAAAGCAGGAGACCCTGACTGAAAAATAAACTAAAGCAAAAAGGGTTGGGGGCATGGCTCAAATGGTAGAGCACAAGGCCTTGAGTTCAAACACCAGTAACAAACACACACACACACACACACACCCTCATCTAGGTTTAGAACTGACACATCCCTCCTACAGGCCAACAAGAGCAGTCCTTCACCATATTTTTACTTTTCCTTCTTCTACAAGAAAAACACTCTAAAATTCTAGTTCCAGATATTTTTTCTACTATTAGAGGAACATTTTGTAACAATGTGACATCTTAGCCACAGCAGAGTACAAAAAGCTCTGGAGCCAAATCCTGCGTCTAATCTAGTGAGACAAACAGAAGGGTGGCCCCTAAAGATGTCCCAACTTGTGAATATGATACCTTACATAGCAAAAGGGATTCTGCTGATATAACTCAGGTGGGGGACCTTAAGATCCTTAAGGTGGGATAATTATAAATCTCAATACACATTACCTTTCTGGCTGCACAGCCAGAAAGATGGCAGTGTTGAGAGACTGGCGCACTGCTGCCAGCTTTGAGGAAGGGAAAGGGACAAGAGCCAAGGACTACAGAAGAAGGCCAGGAGACAGAATCTTCCTCCAGAGACCCAGAAGTAACAAAGCCCTACACAAACATTTTGGCTGAGCTTTGTCTTAAATTTCATACTTCCAGAATATAATAATAAAGAAATATGATAATAAATGTGTTTTCTTTGAAGGGGAGGTAGAGAGGGTGACAGGGTGAATATGATAGAAGTATATTATATATATATATATATGATATATTATTTGTAGGAAAATAGCATTAGCAAAGCACAGTAAAAGCTGTCAAAAGGGAAGGAGAGGGGGCTAAGAAAGAGCAATGTAGACAAGGTAAATTCGATCAAAGTACATTATATGAATGAATGTAAATGTCACAATGAAACCCCTTTTTACAATTAATTTATGCTAATAAAAAATAAGTGCTAAAAGCTACTTAATCTCTCTAGGCCTCAGCTTCTTACATAGGAACAATACCCACTTTGTAAGTCACAGGGAGGATAAAACAGTACCTGTAAGGCAGTCAGCTTGGTGCCAAGTGTACATTATGTACTTAACATATGTTAGCTTAATTTATTAAGTAGTAATGATAGCTCCGGCTTATGCAAGTAGAAGTTAGCCCAGCATGTGGTCACTTCTCCATCTATCTTTAAGAAAGCCATGTATCTTTTAGAATATGCCATTAAGATTCATGGATAAGCATCAAAAAAGTATACAAAAGAAGCTACATCTGGGATTTAAAGTCAGATGTAGAGTTTGGCACTGAATCAGCATTTACATTGAGGATAAGCATGGACACTGAGTACAGGGGCAGGCACTGACCAACGGTCATGAACGTATGACTATTTCAGCAACCTCTGTTACTGAATTCTTACAAGGTCCAGAACCAACACACTGTAGTGCTACAAAGTGAACCAAGAAAAACTCATTCTTCCCCTAAATCTCATCAGTCAGTGTTTTCAAGGTCATGATCCAATATCAATGCCAAGGTCACTAGGCTGAGGACCAATGAGGTCTGAAACCTTCTGTAGAGATCACAGATGACAATAATGACAGCAAAGGAAGGAAAATGCTGTACAGTAAGATGTGGGGGCTTGCTGAAGACAAATTACATTAAAAAAACAAAATTTAAGAAATAATTTGCCTATGTCTGTCTATGCCTATATTTGGTGTGAATCTGTAAGGAAAAGGAGAGGCTGGGGGTGGGGTGGGGCATGGCTCAAGTGCTAGCGCGCCTGCCTATGAAGCACAAGGCCCTGAGTTCAAACCCCAGTACTGCCAAGAAAAAAAAAAAAGAAAGCACAAAGTCACAAAGTGACTGCTATACTTTCTTGTTTACCATATGGAGTCCTGCTGCCTGGGCAGTCCTGGACAGGAAGAAATTAGAACCAGGAAAAAAGCCCCTGTTACTTTTCTTGGCTGAAGTAAAACTCCATTCCCATTCTTTTTCCTTCCTGACAACTGGAAATTAAAGCAGAAAACAGTTTTTAAATGGAACATCTAACAGATCAAAACTCACAAACAATCATCTGTGCTTTCGGCACAGAGACTGACAGTCTTCCCATCTCGGCAGACAATCTGCAGCAGACAGTCTCTTGGCTTCCCATCTGGAGGTTGAATGTCTGAAAAATAAGCAGAATCAAGGAATACCTACACAGTTTTTTTGTTTTGTTTTGTTTTTCATGATTTCTCCTTACTCATTTTAAGACCTAACAGCTCAAATAAGCAAAGAACTAGACAACAAATCAAGTGCTACCTCCAAGAAATAACCCACAGCCTGACCAAGAATGCAAAAAGGAAACAGTGAGGCTGACTGGCAAGACCACTGGCAGCTAAAAGACTTCCACAAACCTATTCCTTTCAAGTGGATACAGGGATAATTCCAGGAAACTGTGACATAATGGCCTTTAAGAAAAACTGACAGGTGCTAGTTGCTAAGTCACAAACTCAAAGTGGTGGCCCATCCTTCTTGGGATTTCCAACCATTTGGCTCCTTTTCCACCAGATGAACGGATGTAGCTGGAAAGGTCTGGTCTATCTCAGATGAGAAAAATTGATCTGCCTGAGCTTTATGGTTCATGATCCAAGTGCCTGGAGCCCCACTGCAGCTGTCCCTCCCAGACTGGCAAATCGGGTAAGGAAGGGAATCCAGCTCCCAGCCAGACTGAAGAAGGGCAAATGACAGAAGCTGGCCAAGGCAGGGCCTCTTACCCCGACACTCATGCCCTATGCGGATATTGATGCAGTCCACAGGCATGTGGACCTTATCCTCGATACTCTGCCGAGTCTGGTCATCATAATAGATCAGGTGACCATCTGACCATAGATCAAACCAATTCTTCTTCCAGCGCTTCAAAATAGTACCTGGAAAAAAACAAAAATAGGGAAAAGATTGGGGATGTGTGTCAAGTGATAAAGTGCCTGCCTAGCAAGTGTAAGGCCCTGAGTTCAAACCTCAGTACAAGGTGGGGGGAGGTAGGTTGGCTTTGGGCCAAAAGAACAAAGCTTGCCCTCTAACTCACTGGAGAAACAAAGGAAGCTCTCCTCTGGCCCTCTAAGGACACCTACACAGAACTGTCCACAAGTAGTCCATCAATCTGAAAGTGGAAATGGAAGCACGACCTGACCACTCTCCTACAATAGGGCTGCAGGAAGCACATGCTGCACACATGGAAAAGGCTCTGGCCAAAGGACAAGCCCCAAAACCAAAAAGGAAAGTTAGGTTTAAAGAAAAGCTTGTGTGAGCTAATCAAACAGGTCTCATGTCTAGCTCCCCATGCAGAAGTAAACAAAACTTCACACTTTTTAAACTTTTAAGCTTTCTAAACTTTCTCAGCACTATTAAATTTGCTAGATTGATCTTAAAGCACTGGGCTACAATATGAATGAATATAATACTGCCCTCTTTTGTCCTTAAGAACTTTCATATACACTGTTTCCTAACAGCTCCCTTCACAGGGAGTCCAGAGCAAGAGTCGAGTCTCCCTTCTAGATACAGAAGCAGATGGAATGACTCAAGACAGCTGGTAAATGGGCACAGGAAGGTGGACCCAGGGCAGGAAATGCCTTTTACCTGGCACATTCTACTCATTCATTTTTGTCAGTTTGAGAGAATCATACTTTCATTTGTAATCTTGGACTAGGCAATTAACTTCATAAAGCTGTAATTTCCTTGTCTACCAGAAGGAAACCCCTGCAATGGACTCCTAGAGCCTGTCCTACCTAATTCGCAGTCACCCACATACTGCCCTCTGCACATGTTCCTGTACATCTCACCTGTTCCTGGCCGATGTGCATAAATCTCACTCCACATGCCTCCCTCTATAGCATCCAGCCATACTGCTATCAGTATCAGGCGTCTCCTCACTGCAAGGAGTATCTGCAGCACTTGCCCACAATAATCAGTTGCAACCCAGCAACTGTGATTGGCAGCACCTGAGCTGCACAGAAACTACCAGATTGAGGTCATGTGCAGTGGCTTATGCCTGTAGTCCTAGCTACTAGGGAGATGGAGATTGGGAGAATAGAGGTTCCAGGCCAACCTGGGCAAAAACTTCACAAGACCCCAAGCCAACCAATGGCTGGGTGCAGTGACGTGTGCCTGTCATTCCAACTATGTGGGGAAGCACAAATAGGAGAGTCACGGTCCAGGATGACCTAGACATAATGCAAGACCCTATCTCAAAAAAAAAAAAAAACTACAAAAAAAGGCTGGCAGCATGGCTCAAGTAATAGAGCACCTGCCTAGCAAGCATGAGGCCCTGAGCTCAACCCTCAGTACCACAAAAAATAAAAAAAAAAACTCCCAGACTGAGCCACAAAGCCAGACAAGAGGAATTACCAGGCTAGGGAATTCTACCTAAGTATCTTCCCTGCCATCAAAGTCCTTACTGCAGATCCCAAATCAGTCTCCTAACAGGCAATGGCAGAATGCTTGGCCTCCACATGACTACATATGTATATGTGCTGCTGTGCAACCCAGTGACTATGAGATACCCCACTTCGTTTTATGCTATTAAGATTGATGCTTCTGCGCTGGCAAAATGGCTCAAGTGGTAGAGACTGCCCAGCAAGCATGAGGCCCTGAGTAACCCCAGTCCCTCCACCCTTTGCTTTTAGTGAAGGCAAATCAATCTACACATTTGGGGATGAAGCTATAGAACAAGTCTTCTGAATATACATCCCTGACATAGTTATGGGCCAGGACACTGGATATGTCTGTGCAACTTGTTTGAGAACATCTATTTTGTGTATATAATCACCATGCTAGGCACTGGTAAGGAGCCCAAAATTAAAAGAATCACTGTTCGCTAATCTACAGACCACTTACATTGAGTTGTGGTGGAAAAAAGATGTGCCGTCAAACAAGGGTGTGGTGGGATGTAAAGAGAAAACCAGAGACCATCTAAAGGACCAGCAGAGAAGGACATGTCCTCAAGGTGTGAGAAACCTCTCCATAACCATGGGGAAGCTGGGACCACAAAACCCAAAACAAGGAAACTTACACAGACTGGAGCTAGAGGCCAATACGCCAGACTTCCTGTGTAAAGCTGGTATTACAACAACCCTGTCTATGCTAAGACTAACAGTCAGAGACCTTGGGAGGATACAACGTTCTGCTCCAGACAGGCTGAAGGTTCACATCTAAGTAGATATACTGTTAATGACAGAATCAGACCTAGATAAATTACACTGAATCTCAATGTTTTCAACTGGAAATAATACTACCTACCTCAGTATAGTACTACTGTGAGATTATACAAGTATACATAAAATCTTTATAGTGGGTACCTGTGGCTCACACCTATTAATCCTAGCTATTCAGGAAGCAGACATCAGGAGGAGGGCAGTTCGAAGCCAGACCAGGCAAATAGATCACAAGACCCTATCTCAAAAGGACTGGTGGAGTGGCTCAAGTGGTAGAACACCTGCCTAGTGGGTATGAGGCTCTGAGTTCAAACCCCAGTACCACCAAAAAATAAAATAAAACAAAATCTTTATAACAGGAACACAAACTTCAGAGGCAATAGTTTTAATAAACCACCTAAGGTATGCAGTTGACTCTTCACTGCTAGACTGAACATTAGCTGAGTTCAGAAGGTTTCTCTCAAATATAAATTCAAGTCTATGAACAGTAAGCAGCATATGCTTTAGTTCAGGCTTTTGCTATCCTTTTTCCTTAACTTGGCTCCTTTAAAACAGAAAATTCTGCTCATTCTTTCTTTAATAATCAGAGCCAGCTCTTCCTGATTACAGTATAAGATATATTCCACTTGGAGCAGCAGCCTCAGAGATGGACAGTATATGAAGGACTGGCACACAGAGATGTCAATCTAGGACAGTAGATGTCAATCCATAAGAACTGTGCCTCTCTTCTCTGGAGTCCCTCTGGAGACAGAAGTTTGGCTTTTGTTAATCTCAAGCCTTCAGGTCAAGTCTTCCTCCACAGATTAACCAAGACTCAGTACTTCAGTCACTGCTCAATGCCCAAATAAGACAGACATTTCCCACATCTAGAGACTATGGCCCACGGCCAACATAGTAGCAAGGTGTGGTCAGATGCAAGCAAAGGCTCAGCTCAATCATTAAAACAAAGCAAGCTTGGACTAGAGGTGTGGCTCAAGTGGTGGAGTGCCTGCTTTGCAAGTGCAAAGCCCTGAGTTCAAACCCCAGTCCATCAAAACAAAACAAACAAATAAATAAATAAAGCATGCTAGTAAGGAAAGAGAAAGCAGCAGGGACCGCCACTGGTTCCTGGTTCCAATCAACAGCAAGCAAGAAGGCATTCCATGTGTGCCCAAAGACAGTTTATAGTTTTTAAAATTCCCAGGCTTTATGATTTGTTTTTAAATGTGATCAATTTCAGCAAACAGAAATAAACCTGTGCCTAAGGCAACACTAAACACAGACCCACACATCCTGTACTTACTCTGTCGCAGCAACCATCCACTCTTGACAAATGCCATCTCTTCACCTACAGGAGAAGAAAAAGGGAGGTTCAAAATTATACCCTCAAAGAGAATGGTTCATCTGGTCAAAGTCTCAATCCTCATCCCATTCGGTGTGAGCTGAGGAATCACTCAAAGCCCTCAGACCTCACCAGCCACCTGGCATTGACCAAATGCCTCAACAGGGTCACACCAGTGCCACCTCTCCTCCCATTCCAGGCTTCAGTCTCATCACCCACCTTTCTGAGTCTAACAGATTTGAAACAGTCCCAGGAACACTAAGGATCAGCTCTGACAAGGGCAGAGCTTCTCTCAATATACCCAGTGTCTGGGGCTCTTGGGACCAGTGACTAGCTTTATGCCAGATGTGTCTCTCTGAGGTCAAAATGGCCAGGTCAAGGCAGAAAACCAGGAGTTCTCAAGAAAAAGGTTTATAAAGTTATCTCCATAAAAACAAAAACCTTCATACAGTATGGGGTGTGGAGTTCAAAAGAATAATGACAAAGTAGGAAAAACCATCACAATCAGATAGCGATGAGTTAATTTTCTTCTCTTACAAACCTCACATATATCATAAAGGAAAGAAAATCATGTATTTGAGTGTTCACACAAAAAAGTGAATAAATTCAATTTCCCTCTCAATTCAAAGGACAATGTTTAAATGTGTAGTTAATAATTTTACCTATCAAATGGGCACAAAAAGCCCGTGTCACTAGCCAGGAGGAGGCATGACAGCAAGAGTGGCTAATAAATGCCCAGCACTGTCCTGGACACAAAGGATACAGCAGTGACCAGGTCAAAGTACCTATTTTCATGTAGCTTACACTCTAATGGAAGACACAGTTGAAACACAAATTTAAGACAGGTATGAAATGTTGTAGCCATCATACCTCTATAATGATGTTATTATCTCCAAACACAAAACTGGAAGAGTAAAGCATTATGCCAAAGGGCAAAGCATGACAAATCATGGATATATACATGACAACTTCCTGTGGCTATAATATCACATAAAAGAGATCTAGCTAGCAACAGTTACCTAGCAACAACTACTCAGAAAAGAATTGGGAGCCACCTAGTTACAATACAAATAGAAAACCAGACTGAAATGTTGCCATACAACTTTGCTGATACCTGATTAGCTGGTGGGTGTGGAACAAAGGAAACTTCTGAACGTCTGTGGTGTATTTGTTTAAATCTCAAATGATTCTTGACATTAATTTGGCTATATGTGTTGTCATTCTTGCAGCCAGGGAAGCACACTTAGATTAAGGATAGTGTCACTTATTCAAAGGTCGTAAGATTTTGGGCCCAATCAGTTGTACCTGCCTCTAAGATCATCACCACCAGCAGCACCCAGGAAGAGAAAGAGTTAAAAGACAGCTTTGGGCAAAGCATTAAGAATCTAGCGGATTTTCTATTGTCTCTAATTATAATCCACTAATTGTTTGGGTTAACATCTGAATTGCCAGGTCCTGTGCCTGTTTTACTTGGTGGTTGCTTGGGATTAGGGCTGGGCTCCATTTCAAGTACTTAAGGCTTTAAAGGATGTCAGCAAGTTGAAATTAGACAGCTGACTGGGCAATCAATTCAAGGCCAGTCAAGATTCAAAAGCATCTCAGCTGAGTATGGTGGCTCATACCAGTAATCCTAGTTACTCAGGAGGCAGAGATTAGAAGGATCGAGGTTCAAAGGCAGCCCAGGCACACAGTTTGCCTTATCCAAAAAAAAAAAAAACCATCACAAAAAAGGGCTGGTGGAGTGGCTCAAGGTATAGGTCCTAATTCAAACTCCAGTACTGCAAAAAAAAAAAAAAAGGTTCAAAAGGATCTATGGAACTCAGGAGAGGAGGGAAAGGAAAAGAGAATGATAGTCAATAATATTGAAATACATTACATCTGTGCAGGTAGACGATACGCTATATACTGAAAGCTGTTGAAAAATACGGTTGGGAGGGAAGAGGTAAAGTAGAAAAATGGAAGGGGTTGAACTGACCAAAGCAAAGTATACTCACAGTGGTGATACACTGAGAAACCCCTTGAACATTGACTTTGGACTTAATAACCAAAGACAGAACTATAAAACAGGTAGTATGTGTGGGGGGTACTTGTGGGAAGGGGGAGGGTGAATACAGATAGAGAGGGAATAAGATTGATGTGTTTCATATACATACATGAAATACAATAATGAAACCTCTTGCAATTGCTCTAAGTGGAGCGGTGAGGGAGTTAGAGGGAGATGGTGGGGGTGATCTAACCAATGTACAATGATAGCCTATTCGGAATTGTCACAATGAATCCCCCCATACAATGAATATATCCTAATAAAAATGAAAAAAATTCATTAGACCATCTATAGGTTCATTTGAATTTCCTATATAATCACATCATCTATAAATAATAAGAAAAATGTTTCTTTTCAAAAAAAATGGAAAGATTCAAAAGAAGAAAAACAGAAACTTCTGCATCTGAAGGAGATTATGAACATTTCTGATATGCCTATAGAAATAATTAACACTAATAGGGAAACTGAGACTATTACAAGACAAAAACTGGAATTAAGAACAGAAAGTTTGTGAGACAGGGAATTCCTCTACTGACTTCAGTAACTTCTTATCTGGTATCATCCTGTCCACCTTTAGTCATTTGGTGGAACAATCTGATTTTCTCCCAGTGCCCAGATTGTTATCTCTAACACTGGTCTGTAAGATGAGCAAGCACTCCTTGAAAATGAGCTGGTTACAGTTTAGAGGCCTGATTCCTTATATGTACCTTACATGTTTTACTATGAGAAAGTAAAGATATGCCAGACAGTGGCATATACCTGTGGTCTCAGCTGTTCAGGAGGATGAGGTAGGAAGAGGACTTGAGACCAGGAGTTCAGAGTCAGCCTGAGCAATATAGTGAGACCCTGTCTCTTTAAGGAAAAAAAAAGCTTTCAGGAGTGCTTTACAAAAGATAAAGAAGCCAACCAGCTGAAGAAAGGGAACCTAGTAGCTAAAATGTGACATGTCAAATTCAGAGCAATAATTACAGTTCATTAGAACCAACTAAACATGATGGTATACACTGTAATCCCACCACTCAGGAGATGGAGGTAGGAGGACTGCAAGTTCAAGGCTACATATCAAGACCCTGTCTCCAAAAACATAAAAAAGAGAAGAAATAGAGGCAGATTGTATCCAGAGCATAAAAAAATTCAAGTCGGATACGCTGCTATAAAATTTCTTAGGGAAAGGACTCCCCTTTCGATGTGTTTGATTTCACACACCTGGGGGTATGGGGATTGCTTTTTTTAAAAAAGCTGAAACGCTGATTTTTATGGAACATTCCCTCACTAGTAATTAGTGGTTGTTGTGTTAATATTAAGGGATATTGTGCTTGCTATCTTAGGTGTTAGAATTTCCTGCTTAAGACAAAATCAAAACCCAGACTTCTAAGTGAAGAGTTCAAGCATACTGAAACAGGTAGTAGGGAAGACATAGGAACAAGCTTGATGAGAAATGGCCTTGGGGAAATGAACATTGGTTCACATTCAAAGAATATACAGAGTTTGCTGAGCTTATTCATGGTCTCCAGAAAAGTCCAAAGTTGCTGAGAGGATGTTAAGTCCCATGATGATGGCAGAGTCTTACTGCACCTTGTGGAATCTTCACTCAGCTCAGACAGTATGGTTAAGTCACAGGGCATCTTCTTCTTTTTTTTTTTTTCTTTTATTATTCATATGTGCATATGTGCATACAAGGCTTGGGTCATTTCTCCCCCCTGCCCCCACCCCCTCCCTTACCACCCACTCCGCCCCCTCCCTCTCCCCCCCACCCCCCCAATACACAGCAGAAACTATTTTGCCCTTATTTCTAATTTTGTTGTAGAGAGAGTATAAGCAATAATAGGAAGGAACAAGGGTTTTTGCTTGTTGAGATAAGGATAGCTATACAGGGAGTTGACTCACATTAATTTCCTGTGCGTGTATGTTACCTTCTAGGTGAATTCTTTTTTATCTCACCTTTTCTCTAGTTTCTGGTCCCCTTTTCCTATTGGCCTCAGTTGCTTTTAAGGTATCTGCTTTAGTTTCTCTGCGTTAAGGGCAACAAATGCTAGCTAATTTTTTAGGTGTCTTACCTATCCTCACCCCTCCCTTGTGTGCTCTCGCTTTTATCATGTGCTCAAAGTCCAATCCCCTTGTTGTGTTTGCCCTTGATCTAATGTCCACATATGAGGGAGAACATACGATTTTTGGTCTTTTGGGCCAGGCTAACCTCACTCAGAATGATGTTCTCCAATTCCATCCATTTACCAGCAAATGATAACATTTCGTTCTTCTTCATGGCTGCATAGAATTCCATTGTGTATAGATACCACATTTTCTTAATCCATTCGTCAGTGGTGGGGCATCTTGGCTGTTTCCATAACTTGGCTATTGTGAATAGTGACAGGGCATCTTCTTAGGGCACTGAAACTGGGGCCTGTGCCATCTGACAGAGACAACAAGGTGGCAGCCATCCGAGTGCAGGAGAGTAAGCACTTCATCTCCATGAAACAGTTGGTTTTTTTGGTTTTGTTTTTGTTTTTGGTTGGCTTTTGCAGTACTGGGGCTTGAACTCAGGGCCTACATCTTAAGCCACTCCACCAGCCCTTTTTTGTGATGTGTTTTTTGGAGATAGGGTCTCGCAAACTATTTGACTGGGCTAGCTTCGAACAGTGATCCTCCTGGTCTCTGCCTCCTGAGTAGGTAGCATTACAGAAGTAAGCCACCAGCACCTGTCTGAGATGGGTCCTTTGTGTCTACTGGCCTCTTGGGTTGATCTCCATGCTGGTATCACTGCCATACTTCATCAGCTCCACCATCTGCAGCAACCTAAGCTGGCCTCTGGCTCCCAACCCATAAGTTAAGACAGGACACAACCTAGATACTCCACACCAGGAAAGTATAAGTTAAGACACTAAGAGTAGCAAGTCCTTACATAAACAGCCACAGTCTCCTGCTCCTCAGCAGACCCACCACACCAACACTGGATCATGGATAA